TTGTAGTAGAGACGGGTTTCGCTATGTTAGCCAGGCTGGTCTCAAACTCCTGGCTTCAAGTGATCTGCCCGCCTCAGCCTCGTAAAGTCGTGGGATTACAGGTGTGAGCTACCACACCTGGCCATGTTCTTGTTTTTAAATTGAACAAATGTATTTAAATAATTATTTAAATGATATTTATTTTAATACATGTTTGTTGTTTAAAAAAAATCCAAATAGTATTAAAGAGAATAAATCAAGAGCAGAACCTCCCCCCAGCAATAGCTTTTAAATCTGACATAAAATGAACTGTCCAGAAGAGGATAGGGGGACTCAGCGCCCCCTGCTCCCAAGGGCAGACCGCATCTGCCTGGGGTGGGGTGGACAGGTTGGGACCGTGTGCCCTCCCTCCCGGGTCATCGGCTTCTCTCTGGGCAACTTCACTTTCAGTCCAGGAAGTCTGAGGGAGGAGGAGAGAGCTCAGCGGCTTCTGTCACATCCTGGGCAGAGAACAGACAGCAGAGATGAGAGAGTCCAGATACTGGAGGCCCTGCAACTGGCGGGTGAGATGTGGGGTGCTGGGAAAGCAGGGAGGTGGAGCCTGGACATGCAGGGCCTGAGCTCCGCACTGGGCAGGGGCGGGGGACCCAGTTTGAGTGAACGTTTATTGTGCATCTGCTTTGGCACATTCCCAGAGACAATCTCATTTGAGCCTCACAGTGACCCCCAAGAGGAATTGTGCCCGTTTTACGGATGGGAAACTGAGGCACAGAGAAGTTGAGCGACTAGTTTGAGGACACACAGCATGAGAGGAGCACAGCCTGCATTTCTGGGCTGATACGCTGATGCAGGCCCACACCGGAGGCTGGAGTATTGGAGCTAGATTTAACTTACTCAGAGATGGGGGAGACAGGCACCCCACGTGTCAGGGGCCCCTCCTGGCTTGGATCCTCCCGTCTGCTTACTCTCTCTTTTCTCTCCCTCCTCCCTGTCTCCTTAGTCTTCTTCCTGTGGTGCCAACAGAAGGAACGGGCCAGACAGGAGAGGGAGAGTCTGCGGAAGGCCACCAGGGCCACACAGACGACAGGGAGCTTCCCCCATGCCTGGCACTTTACTGCTGCAGGTGCAGCCTGGGTGGCGCCACTGAGCCCCCAGCACCAGAGAGCTTGGCTGTGCAGGTAGGACACCCTTCCCTTTTTTTTTGAGATGGGGTCTCATTCTGTCACGTAGGCTGGAGTACAGTGGCACCATCTTGCTCACTGCACCCTCCACCTCCCTGGCTCAAGCGATCCTCCCACCTCAGCTTCCCAAGTAGCTGGGACCATAGGCACGCGCCACCATGCCCAGCTAATTTTTTGTATTTTTAGTAGAGACAGGGTTCCACCATGTTGCCCAGGCTGGTCTCGAACTCCTGACCTCAAGTGATCTGCCCACCTTGGCCTCCCAAAGTGCTGGGAATCCAGGCGTGAGCCAGCGTGCCTGGCCCCCACTTCCCTTTAAGTCAGCTCTTAACTCCTAGTATTGAGAGGCAAGGATGCAAATGGGAAGTGAAAGCAGCCATCGACTGAGCATGCCTAGAACATGCTAGCCGGCCCCACTGGCTGGGATTTGGTTATAAGCAAAGCTTAGTCCCAGCTTCCCACCTCTTCCCATCATCACAGTGGAACCCATGGCTGGTGGGGGAACAGACAGGAAACTGGCAGACCCAAGGGTGTATGTGAGTACCACCTGGCTTAAGTGTTGTGAAGAGAAGGAACATAGATCTGTGAGTTTCTTTTTTTGCTTCCTGGTGGTTAACTTTTTATTATGGGGCATTATTATTATTATTATTTGAGACAGAGCCTCGCTCTGTCACCCAGGCTGGAGTGCAGTGGCACGATCTCGGCTCACTGCAACCTCCACCTCCCGGGTTCAAGCGATTCTCCTGCCTCACCTCATAAGTAGCTGGGATTACAGGCACATGCCACCATGCCCAGCTAATTTTTTTTTGT